ACGGTTTTAAAACTGTTCGACTCATGTTTGAATGAGTCAAACGCCCAAGTTGGCGTTCAGGACCCTAACTCCGCGTTTTAGACTGGAGACGCGGAGTTGGGCACCCGCTGGATGTTGAAAAATGCGAGGACCGCCCGCGTTTTGTTTGCTGAGGGTTGGTAACGCGGGGGTCGCCTGCGTTTCAAGAACTGAAACGCGAAGGTGAATTCCGCGTTTTAGAAGGAGCTAATGACTTATTACTTCTTCTGTAGAGCGTTGCAAAGACCGTCATCTTATAATCTTCATCTTGGCTCCTTGAAAATATGAGAGTCGTCAGATTGTAACTCCCGATGTTGATTGTGAAGGCTGTTGAACTAGAGCTTTCATTGGTTGTTGTGAAGGTCGTCAAATTGTAACCTTCTACGTAAAAGTCTTCAAATTGTAACCTTCTGGAAGTCGTCGAATTGTAACTTCTATCATCGGTATTTGATGGCGATCAGCTATCTGTTGTGATTTTTAGACAGCCTACACATTTAAAAAATATGTGTGGCGTTATTGCCACTCTTGCTTACTGAATTTCACAATGTTTGTGACATGCATCTCGGATTCAAATTTCACAATGCCTCTGGACTTTTGGGGTTATCAACGACCCCCTGAACTTTTTCCCCAGTAAGCCCTCTCAAACATTGGATGTTTCACAAAACCCCCTAAACTCTCAAACTTTCTTAACAGACCACCTTACATACATATAATTGACAGAAATTTGTGTTGATTCAATCATGTGCCATCTACATATAACAGACCCTTGCACCCTCCCACTCCCTGATTGATTTTTAGGTACTAGTTAGTTATTTATCACTTACAGGTTGAAAGGCTTGTTTGGAAATTTTAAAAGTTTAGAGAAATACTTATGTGAGACCCTCAAAGTTTGGGTTGTGTGTGGAAAAGTTGTATAGATGAGTCATGGCCGAAAAGTCGAGGGTGGTTTTTGAGAAATTCACCAGTTATTTTATCATGTGCCGTGTAGAGATTGATGTAGAACACACAACAGACACGTTTATGTCAAAGTGGGACAGTCGCAAGCCCAAATACGGGCCTGGTCGAAGAAAATAACTACTTTTGAAGAAACGGCCGTAACTTTCTAACCGTACGTCGGAATTGGACTAATTATATATGAAAACTGACTATCTCGACGAGATGGAGCCATCCAAACCTACCCTTTTGGGTTCGATTTGCATTCTCCGTTTTGCCAAATTCCTTACGGTTTGAGAGATATTTGTATTTTTATCCGTTTTTTACTATTTTTAGTAATATTTTAGGAGTCTGTTTTGTTTAAGAAACAAATCCGATTTGATCTCAGATTTGACCAGTGGACTTTCCTAGTAATAAGAAGTCTTTTTAGGAGTTTTAATATTCTAGGAATTCTTTTACTATTTTTGGTAGAGTTTGAGTCATTGTAGGAGTCTTATTTCTTTTTTTCTATTTAAGAAGAGTCTTGTAAGCCCTAGAGGCATAACTTTTGATTAATAAAATTTTGTTTTTCTTCAATATTTACTTCGTTGATTCGAAGCTCTTTGTGGATTCGAAGCCCTTCGTGGATTCAAAGATTGTTCTTGGTGGATTCCGAAGTTACAACTTCCGCACTGCGTCAGAGATCTTCCACATCATTGGTTATAGAGAATCTCTAGAATTCATTAATCATAGCTTCCTTAATCATATTTCCTAGGTGTATATAAAAAGTTGTTTTAGTTATGGGGCTCACTAAATAACCAATGCTATTAATTCACATAATTAATTGTAAAAGTTCTCTACAATCCAAAATGTAGAGAATCCTTATCCTAAACATGAACTCTTAATAGTTTGCATTCCCTTCACCATTTCTGAACAATACTTATATCGAAATACAAGTATTATGAATACAAGCACAATGGAAACTTTGAAGACATGCCATACTCACCTAACAAAAGAGAGCACTCTAACTGTAAGGACATACATCTAACATACTTGAGCATTTAGGCTTTGTTTGTTTTGGGGATGGTTTCAATGCGAAGCCCACGTCTTTCCTTAATGCTAGTGTAAAGGTGGCTAATGAAACTTCTAAAATGATAAATAATCATACACTCTTCTTAAAAGTACGAGCTAAGGAAAATCTTTCTATAGTCAATATTACCTTTAAATTTTTTTAAGTATTACATTGTTATCCTAATCTATTGTAATTATCCTGTCTTTTTTGAATTGAAAATTAAATAATTTATCCTATTCATAATGAGATTTAACATGTTATTGGATAAAAGAGATACGTTTGATATAATTTAAATCATTTATTTAGTTTAGTTCGCAGAGAAATCTAAAAAAATATGCTAGCCAGCACCTAAAAATTTTCGGACTTTGTAAAAAATATACTCCAAGTTTTTAAATTACAAAACACCCCTACAAATTTAAAATTTTATTAAAACACCTTGAAAATTATAAATTTTACTTATTTCAATTCTGTGAGAAATCTAAAAAACACATGCTAGCTAGAAAGTGAAAGTTTTTTGACTTTGAAAAAAGTATCTTGTAAGTTTTAAAAATTATAAAAACACCTTTAAAATTTTAAAATTTATAAAAAAACACCTTAAAAACTTCAAACCTATAAACACAATAAAAACCTACAAATAACACAAACAACCCCAAAAATTTATAGACGAACTTTGCTTTCACGTATTATCCTAACAATACTGTAATCTAATTTAATATTTGCTTTCACGTAGACTAACTTTGGGACTAACTTAAAATAATTGCGACCATTTGTTTGTTTTAGGAGTGATTATGACCGTTCAAATTAAAATCATAACTTTTCACTGTAAAATCAGCCAATATTGCACGATGCATCTGTGTAGCTAAAATTCAAAAGTTGAGCATGACTTCATCAGATAACTAGACATGCAACCTCACACCTGTCATGTATAATAAAAAACCCTATTCATTAAAAAAAACTGTAAAAGCAAATAACATAAAATTAATGGCTTTGCTAACTCCACGACCACCGATCAAGGTTTTAGAAAAGATGCACTGGATAATGTCTTTGCTTATAGGTGGGCAGCAGCAACTAATATTAATAAAATTGTTTAGAAACAATCATTAAAAATTATTCATATGTAGCTTACTTGATGTTTGACTCACGTAAAAAAATAGTTGACCTAGTCTTCAGGGCGAAGGATTACAGAGGAAAAAGAGAAGACAATACTGATACATCGAACTTACACGTTACAAATTAAGACGCGAACAAAGATACCCGACCAAGAAAATCCAAGGGAAGACAGCAGGAGGAAAAAAAATCATGAATACAAGAAGTTGGCAAAGAACAGAAAGACAAAGTGACATAGTAGAATTGATGAAAAATCGGTAGAATTAACAAGAGTAAGGTCTTTTTGTCCGAAAATCTTAAACCCTCAAGTCAATGAGTACCCTAGTTGTAAAAATGGGGGTAAGTTGAGTTTAGTTTTATCTCCTTTTGGATATTAAGTAGTCCATCCTAGCTCACAAATAGACCAGTTGAGATAAAAAAAATAACAAATACGGGCTTAACATGCATGTGGATCAAATTATTTTAAACTATTAAAAAAAGAGCAAACAAACAAACCAACAGGCCATGGCTTTTTTTTTTTTTTACATCGGATATTTACTCATGAAGATTTTCTTAAAATTACCTAAAATTGAGCAGAAATAGTGTGCCAATGATGAATTGCCCAAATCCGACCAAGATATTCAGTTCTTTTAATTTTGGTTTAAAAAAATCGTTGTAGAGGATTTTAAATTTCACTATTCATTGCTACATTCCTCCTAAGTCAATCGTTCCCATATGTCCATGAAATTAATTTAACGCATAAGGAAGGAACATCTCTCCTTTTATTTTCCCTTTTTTTCTTTTCCTTTTTTTATTTATCACGGCAAGGAAGGAACATCTCTCTAAAATCTTGCAAATAAATTTTAGATTCCATTATTCATTGATATACATCTGACTTTAATATATCTTTCTTTGTTATATATATATATACGTCCTGCAAAACTGGCAAAAAAAATCAGAAATTCTCTAATAAGAGAAGTCTTGACCTTTTTCATTCCTCACAATTTCCTCAAAAATGGGTAGAAAACTCTATTTCTCGCCGTTGTTGCTCTAACTTTATTCCTCTTTCAGAGCTTCTCTTTTGCTTCTACTGGCAAGGGCAATCTCAGTACTTTCTGCTATAAAATTGTATCAGACTATATGTTCCTTTCTATGTCTAGGATGATTTCTTCGGCGGAGATCCGAGAAGCAGCACTGCAGACTACACTACACTCTCGCAATTGTTGCACTCGACGTGGTCGCTTCAAACGCCACGAGAGTTCAGGCTAACTTTGAGACGTTTTTGAAGACTGAAAGGGATCCAGTGATATCAGGCGAGCAGTAGAGGCGTGCTCAAAGCATTATTCAGACTCGATGCCGACTCTCAAAGAGGCGGAGGATGATGTCAAGATCAAGAATTATGCTGGTGCCTCCGGTGCACTCGCTAACTTCACTCGCGGTGCACCAATTGCTTGCGTATATGAGTTCCCCAACAGAGGCCATATTGCTCCGGTTCATGAATCGTATGATCTCATTAGCGCTAAATTTGTTGCCGGAGTCGTCTGTGATTTTCTTCAGAACCCCAGTGACTATGATTACTTCTGTATCCGAGTAATGAATGTAGAGCTTGCATATTTTTTTCTTGTGTTTTTATGTGTGGATGAAAAAAAAAAATGTCTGCAACTCTATCTTTGTCATTGCTGACACAACGACATCCTATTAGATTAATATATAGGCTGCGTCTACAATACACTACATAACGTTATAATGAACATAGTTAGACACAAATAACAATATATTAAAAGGCTTAATTAACACCCGCAGAGTATTACTAATCTGCATAATATACAAAGTGTTTTTTAATGGAATTTAACAAACCACTTGACCTTTAATTTTTACATCACTATCTGACGTTGATCAACACGAAAAGAACAAGTCAAAACAAAAGCGATCTTATTTATTGGATTAATACACAAAATATAGTATTCCAATCTCCTCCGACAATATATATTATTCCAATCTTATTTATTGAATTATTATGGTTTTCACGCACATTCATATTGCAGACTCAAAATCATTTTGAGCCTTCCTGAACAATTTCTGCCGAAGATGCTGCTCAAATGTCCTCGGCTTAAACTTCACCGGATTTTCGTCGCTCACAACCTCCTCCAGCGGCCGGAGCACCACCTTATCCTTCGGCGGCTCGCAGAAAACCGCCCACGAGATCCTAACCTTCTCTTTATTCACTAATCCTCTATGAAGAACGCTCTTATAGATCCCATTACTCAAAATCTCAAGCGCATCACCAACATGAACAATCATAGAATTTGGTATTAACTTTGCTGTTACCCATTTGTTATTGTAGAAGACCTGGAGGCCGGGGACGTCGTTGTGGAGGATGAAGGAGAGGGAGCTGACGTCGGTGTGGGCTTCGACGCCGAGAGCGAGGTCGGGCTGAGGGCATTTTGGGTAGTAGTTGATCTTCATTTGCAGGAGTAAGTCTTCCATTCCTCCAAGCTCTTTCTCTAGCTTGTCTTGTTCAAGGCCGAGGCCTAAGGAGAGGATTGAGAGCATTTTGGTGGCTACGAGCCTTAGCTGCGTTGCAAACTCTTGCATCACCTCACTGCATCACAATGTTTAGGATATGTAGTAGAATTAACTGTCAAGAAATCATAGAATTAAGAGAAATACACGAGCATATACATAAACCAATATTGTAGTATCTATACCTTAAAATTAATGTCTCTCTTCTTTTACCTTTGCAGTTTATTCTTATATCTGGTCTAGCTACTTGTCAAAAAAGCAATTTTCTCTTTCTCTAAGGATAAAGGTCAAAGGAGTCAAAAATTTCACTCAGAAGGTCTATCTACGAAACAAAACCTAAGAATAGTAAGTTCAAAGCAATGATATATACTACAAGGGGTCTAGCCACAATTAACCCATTATTAATCTAGAGACCTTAACCTCTTGCAAAATATTGCTGTTCTTTAAGAAAAAAATTTGTTGTTGAAATATGAAATGTCATGGAAGAAACTTACGTGTATTCAGCAGGCTCTCTAGGCCAAACGGACAAATCAACCTTATCACTTGGAAATATGAGATGAAAGAAGTAATCCTCCCATTCCAACTTCCCACTCTCGGTGTTTGCCAACTTACTCCCGTACCCTTGAATCTTCCCTTCCGTCTGCTCATTAGCATACGTCTCCTTAACCTCGATTGGAAGATCGAAAAACCCTTTTCCGACAGCTCGAACTCTCTCGATCAACTCCGACGAAATCCCATGATTGACAATGTGCATAACTCCCCATTCTTTAGCGGCACTCTTCACATCCTCAACACATTCGGTCTTTGATGACGACTCGTCGTCTTCGTCGAAGGCTTTGAGGTCGATTACCGGGATCTGAGGGCCGTCGTCGGAGTTTTTGATGGCATCGAGGGCGTCGCCGAGGTTGTCACGTTCGGATAACGGTCGGATGTAGTCGACAGGGATTTTGTCGAGGTCAGAGGCAGCTAGGGTTTCAACTCTTGGGGTAGACATTTTGGCGGCCGTGTTGGGTTGAGATAGGCACGTGGCTAGGGTTTCTACTATTTGGGTAGACATCTTGTTGGGTGGTGTTGGGATTGAGATTGGTAGAGAGGAGAGTTGGAGGGTGGAGATTTATAGAGGTGGGAGGGGGGATTTGGCGGGAACGCACGCACCAGCAACCGGTGTGAGTTTTGAAAGAGGTGGGAGGGGGGATTTGGCGGGAACGCACGCACCAGCAACCGGTGTGAGTTTTGAATGGAGGTTGGTTGTTGTGGGATAGACAAGCACGTGCGTAGAACCTCAACTACTCGGCTTTACAAAAGGTTGTCGTGAGAGAGCAAGTGATTATGTAGTTTATTTCTCTCTTTTTTGTATTTTTTTATTTTTTATTATATATATATATATATATTACGACTCCTATCAACTTAAGTTGATGTCCATCAAACTTCCTAGCCACTCATTTATTAATATAAAAAATATTTTCATATCATGTAAGGATCTCTAGACAATATGAGTGGCTCAAAAGTTTGGTGGATAACTTTTTACTATCCACTTAAGTTGACATAAGTTTTGCTATATATATATATATATATATATAATATATGGCTGGGGCGAGGGCCGATCCGGTTCAAGCGGTGACCCAACTCATCGGGTTCAAGGTCAAGCTGGGCTTGACCGAGTCTCAGCCGGGTCAGAGTGAGACGTACGTACTTTTCTTTATCCGGGTCTGGGACTAGACGCAGCCCACCCACGACCAGCCTAGGAGCGGCCTAGGTCTGACCTGACCCACGGCCTGTGGATCATGGCTAGCCTAGGGTTTTTCGTCTAAATTTTTCCCCCTTTTTTACCTTTTAAATTATATTAAAATTATATTTATAATTATAAAAATATTTCTAATTTATTTTTTAGTAATCTAAACTTACTAAACAATTTTTAAACTCATATTAAACTTTTTAATCCTTCCAAGCATACAACACAAGATTAAAGATCATTGCTTTGTTTCTCAATAGGCCAAAAAAACCATGAGGCAAAAACCCATGGCATTTTGGCTTTATTGACAGCTAGCTATATACCCAAAAGACTAAAGAAATAGCTAATCTAACTAAAAAAATATCATGGATGGGGCAAGTCAAGCAGAGCCGAGTCAGGCGTGGTTCGCGCCTATTTTCTGACCCCGGGTCTGGGATTGGATCTAGCCCTTGTTTCTCAATAGGCCAAAAAAACCATGAGGCAAAAACCCATGGCATTTTGGCTTTATTGACAGCTAGCTATATACCCAAAAGACTAAAGAAATAGCTAATCTAACTAAAAAAATATCATGGATGGGGCAAGTCAAGCAGAGCCGAGTCAGGCGTGGTTCGCGCCTATTTTCTGACCCCGGGTCTGGGATTGGATCTAGCCCAGCAAACAACCCGAGTGTATCATGGACCGGGTCGGGCCCGACCCACTACAATCAGGATGAGTTGGGACCCATTGCGAGCTGGACCGAATCAGCCTACGGGTGGACCCGACCCACACCCAACCCTAAATATATATAACACCAAAGGAAAAGAATACAACTGACACAAAGTAGGAAAAGTAAAAAGCTAGAAGAAAATTCATACAACACCACAAAGTAGGAAAAGTAAGAAAGCTAGAAGAAATTTCATAAACTTATTTAACAAATCACTTTCAAAAGCGAACAATTTCTGCATATTCGATAGCAGGCCACAAAACTCTGTGCTGCACGAGATGCGATAGTTTTTAGGATTCATTTTTTTATTTATTAATCAAACAACTCACTATGTCAACATTTGGCTATAACAGCTTTGTCTAAATTAATTGATTTGTATCACCTAAAGGAATGTACATTTCATATAGATGACCAAACATCAAATTTAATGTAAAGGAACTCTAAATCATTTTGACAATAACCGAGGTTATCTCTTATTCTCTATCCAGCGCAGTGTTCTCACAAGTAATCTAACCCTTTATCCTCGTCCCCACACAAGAAGAACAATCAACCAACTGAAACTTCAGTTTATATCAAATTTTGAATTAAAAAGACTCAAGTGCTTCACAACTTGCTTTTGCCAAATATATACATGAATCAGGATAGCTCTTATGTAGCACGTCCATCAAGACATTCTAAATTCGGTATCAGTTTTTGAAAGGATTTCTCAGACTCCAAATTGATGGGTCAATATCACATATAAAGGAAATTTTTTGAATTACAAGATTAACAGTAAGAAAAGGTTGCTATTTGCATAGTGAAAGCAAGAATAATATCATCAAAACACCCTCAACAACAGAAATCGCAATAACAGAAACCTTTGCAGAGAGCACCCTTTAATTAACAGTAAGAAAAGGTTGCTATTTGCATAGCCAAATGGCAACCAGAATCATAGTGAAAGCAAAGGTTGCTATTTGCTTCACGAAATCGCAACAACAGAAACCTTTGCAGAGAGCACTCTTTAATTATCAGTTATTTGCATCGAATCAATTTAGGAGGGAATAAAAACTAGACTTTAGCTTCATGAAGTTAGCTTTCACCATGAGAATCAAGAATAATTTCATCAAAACTAATACAGCAAGCAAATTATTAGTTTACTATCACATCAGTAAGTTCTGAAAGGCTTTTCTACCTATTGGATGAGCTATTGCAGGAAGTAATCAGTTCCTAATGCAGCCTGAGAACAAGGAAACCCTAGAATTTGCATGTTAGGCAAACCTAAAAGCAAGTGCGTGAATTTTAAAAAGGAAAACCAAAGAATTTCACTACTTTTAGTGCAAAGTTAGAACAAGAAATCAACACAAGCAATCTCGTGGAAGGCATTTTCTCAACACACTGCTAAAGATGCCCTCTCTATTATTTTCAAGGATTCTCGTCTAGTGCTCAGAGAATAATACAACACCTTTTGCTACGTATATATGTTGAAAATGTCCAAACTTGTCTCCCAATACTTTTGAACAACTCATGTTCAATAGCTAAATGGCAATTCAAGCAATTTCAAGAAGAAAAGAAAAGAATCAATAGGAGGAAAACATAATGTGGAACTCTGAAGCAAATGCATTAACTCAATTACAAATGTATCCGGTTTGAGCTCATCACTCTAAAGAGCAAAGTGCAATGCATTATGCGAAACAAATGGGGATGAAGGGTAAAGTTAGCAAAATAATAAATGAAGAAAAAAAAAACAGAGATAAAGGAAGGTATTAAAACAAGAACGGAAGATGCTTGCAAGTGAAGGGTTTCTCTCTATACAAAGATATTTGTGATAAATAAAACAATATGAAGAGTGAGAAGCAAATACTGGACCTAGTTCGTGATCATCCTTAGCCACAACGGAGAATCTGCTTTATTAATATAGACAACTTCACCACATTATTCAAATGTGCTGGACTGAATTTGGAATCAGAGTTTGGCTGCTTTTGACTTCCTCAATCTTAAAAAAAAACCCAGAGTTAACTACAGATACACGCATAAATTGCTATATATTGATAGTAGGCTTCTCTTCTCATTCACCAAACACTTCCATGGCTTCTGCTTATTTTCTTGATGTATGGGGATGGATCAACAATCTACCTCCATTCACTCAATGGAATACAAATACCATGTCTCTTTGCATCTGTAAATCAAAGTCTCTTAGAGCCTCAATGAACCTCTCAATCACCAAAAGCACCGAAAGCCCTAATCCTTATGTCACCTTCTCTATCTATACTAATTTTCAAATTCCTGTCTCCGCTCTGGTCTCCAACTCTTTCCCTTGAAAACTAAAAACAGCCAGGGCAGTCTGTTGATGAAAACACCATAGCCAAATTCTTCCTCAATATTGTCAATGGAGTCCTAACCTATGGGCCCTGCAAGAAATTTTCTCTGCGGTTCCCTGCAGTAGAAATCCGAGAAGAATTTAGAGACATCTTTAATCTCGCATTCCTTACTCTAGCTTTCTTGGTTTGCATCTATGAAGCACCTCAAGACCTTCGATCAGAGTACATAGACATTCTGAAGCTTCAGCTCATGAGCTCGAGGTCAAAAGATGCATCACAGCTACTAGTCCGAGCTCTCGGATCCAATTTAGAAGAACAATGGATGAGATCGTTAAATCTCGCCATAACTAATCGCATAGTAGAGCTCCAAGCTTCAAATATTTCCTTTAGAACACCCTCAACCATGTTTTCTTATGCTGTGTCGGCTAGTGGACTGTGGAAAGTACAGTTGTATTGTCCAATAATAGCTATGAGTTTGGAGGATCCGAGTTCTATGACTCAAGATGAACGTCTGCTCTTCTCACTTAAGTACCAACAGCTTGAAGGTGTCATCCAACTTGCTTACAAAGTTATATACCGGCAGAATTGGATTGACGTGGTGGTCAGTGTGGATAATGTGAGGTTGGTATAATACACTTTTACCCTTAACACACAACACGCTTACATCTGTGCACAAGCACAGCTAAAGTTTACTTTTAGTTTAGCAGATATACAAAACAATAATATCAAAGCAGTATTATCAACCCAAAATCATTCCTTGCTCTGGTCATTGACTCATTGTTACTCGCCAATTAACCTTCTAGTTCCTGGCAAGGGTCTTATTGTGAAAGTTACCTAGGAAATTGCTACTAAAGAAGTTTAATGATGGCTGGGTACTAAGTACCGGTCAAAGAAGAAATATTGTCAACCTTTTTGTTGAAACCTCTTAATTGCCACACTTGATACTGACGAAATTAACTTAAACAAAATTTGATGGATTTGTAGGGTATAATTATATCTCTATCTTCATGTTCACAAGTGATACCTCTAACTATAAGCATTCTTCTACACTTTTTCCATTACAGGTGTGACGTAAATCCACTGGTTGCTGATAATCTCCTTGATGAACGAGGATATGGCTCCAAGGAGAAACACTTTCCTTCTAGAATAGCTCTACGCCTCACCCCAACACTACAAACAGATGTGATTTCAGTTTCAGTAAGCAAATCATCCAATAACCCTACTCATGAAATCGGCCATGAAAACAGTGTTGAAGCTTCATTTGATCCTCCAAACTCTTACCCAGGCTTTAAGCTTGCAGCTTCAGAAAGCGTGACAATGAGCATGAAGCCATGGAATTTTGAACAGTCAGTGTATGGTGATAGTGCACACTTGAACTGGTTTCTTCATGATGGGGTCAATGGGAGAGAGGTGTTCTCCTCAAAGCCTTCAAAGATGGCACTAATTCAACCTAAGGCATGGTTTAGAAATCGATACTCGAGTGCTTACAGGCCTTTCACGAAACAAGGTGGGGTGATTTTTGCAGGAGATGAGTATGGGGAGAGTGTGTGCTGGAAATTGTGTGGAGGAGCTTTAGGGAAAACTATGGAGTGGGAGATAAAAGGCTCTATATGGTTAACCTACTGGCCTAACAAGCAAAGAACATTTTACAGTGAAACTCGAAGGTTAGAGTTTAAAGAGCTACTGCATCTTACACTGCAGAAGTAGGCAAAGAATGGGATGAGTATCTCTTTTCTGTATGTTTCAATAAGTATCCAAGTACAGTGTCAAGGTAATCTGTAATTAAAGTGTGAATTGTAATCTTCAGAAGATTCACCTAAGGTAAAAGGTTAAACATCTTCTAGTACTTGGATTCGTGAAGCAAGTCTATGACAACATGAGAAGAGCAAGAATCTATCTAAGGTATTCAAGTAATGAGGGTCTTTCATTATTCCACGATCAGATGCATTCGTAACTAATGCTTTTTTTAACCTATATCAAACATAAAAGGTCTGATACTTCACAAACAATATTCAGGCAACTATTACACCCACTCCAACCCAGAGGGGG